AGCTAGAAGCTCTGATCATTGAACAAAAGTATTTACTTGATTGTTGAAAAATTGGCTGAATATTGAACAAAAATGCTTGTAACAAAAGGATCGGTGCAAATGAGTAACAAGGAGGGATGCGTGGAAAAAGAATAATTGAGCAGGACGGTGGGAACGGAAAGTGTGAAATAATTGCAAAACAGCGTATGTACACAAGATGTAGCATTTAATGCTCACGTTTCAAAAAAACACTATACAATGGACACTCTTCTAACATTGACCACCGTGACATCGTCGTCGTTTAATTTTTCCTTTCCTTTTTTATTTTTTCTTTTTTTGCTCCTGTTAATTCTCTTGTTTTTCGTATTTCACGGGATACGTGGATATTATGTGCTAGTGATCCACGCGATGCCGAAAACGATCCGTCGATTCAAGTCAAGCCCGATCTAACGAAGAAAATTTTTTTTTCATTATCTTGTATAATATATGAATTTAAAAGAAAAAAAGATTCAATGTAACAGTTCGTCCACCGCGACTCGCTATTCGTATACTATAATTATATGCACCGTTTGATTCATCGATACTTTTACCCTTTATTTACGTATTTTAGATATACTTTCGACGCCGTTACTCTTTTTTTTTACCCATTATTTTGTTTAATACTTTATATTATATGTATATACTGACAGAGTACGCGTTATTAGTCTCTTGACTCCAATGGAAATTTAATTCGCGTCCCGTATGTATTATGAGTTTATTTATACGTGTACGTGTACAGTAGAAAAAACTCGGAAAACTACTGCGTAAATGAATTGCAATTTGACGATCACTCGGCACATTACATTTTTATCTTTGTCCGACTCGACTTGGCCATTGCAATTTTTTCTAAGGGTTTCTGTGTGTGTTAAAAGTTGAAAGGGTTCTGAGTTATGCACAAAAAATAATAACCAGTGAAAAATTCAGATTTCATACCGATATAATGAATGTTATCTTATTTATACATCATCTTTTATCAATATCGTTTACAATAGTGATCGCAACAATTTTTCATCAGTTGTTTACCCATACCGATCTTCTCGTCGATCTCGATCATCCGGTCGATCGAGAGAAAATCGGCAATCGGTAATCATCATCATCATAATTATACACAATATAATAATCGTACAGTGTGTTTTTCTCATACAAATTCGTCACTCTTTTATACTCTCACGCGCAAACTCACACAATATTTCACTTTCTTCACGACCTACCCATGCAAGCATTTATGTACTAATTTATTTTTTGTTTATGTCTCGTATCGTGTCGTTCAATATCTCGCTCTCACACTTGCACTCTGTTTCTCGCATATCTATTTTAATATCTTTTTTTTTAATTTTATTTCTTCGGTCTTGCCTTCTCGCACGAGTCGCTGATGCTTTTATTGATTAAAAACTTTGTGTAATCTTGCTTTCACTTTTTTTCTTTTTATACCTTCTAACGTGTATAATATTACTTAGATAGCTTAACTGTTATTTCGTATACATTTTTAAGGCGATGATTCAATCGAATGAACTCATTTTTCAAACGAACAGCCAAACTGCCGGATCGCATCGTATAACATTTTTTATGAAAACACGCATGTGTATATCTTCGAATTCGTCTCACATCGTATACAACTTGTGGAAAAATATTATTGGTAAATCGTATACAGATTTGAATGCTGGTATGGAAATGCAGCGAATTCTTTGCTGAAGAGCGTCGGAAGAATGCAAATTTTATGCTCCGAACTAATTTTCGTAGTTATCGTACTTATTACACGTATACTGTTATATTGAACCCTGTAACAAAAGGCAGCGATAATGACGCCTTCAACGATCGATTCGCTGGATTTCCTTTGGGTTTGACATTTTTTTTTTCTCAATTATCTCGCGTCGATCGTTTCTACCGCACTTTTAATAATAATAAATACAAGTCAACAACAATTTTTTTTTTTTTTTTTTCACCAATCGTCAATAAATAAAACACTTATATAAAACATAAACATTAAAATGACAAACATGTAAAATTATCAAATTACTCAACAGTTAGAATTGCACTACTTAAACAGTAAAAAGTCAATGAGGTTAAATATCTTTAACTATACTTTGGTGCGATGAAACGATCGACCGAATCGAATTTTACCTGATGCACTTACGTTTGCTGAACAAACGTGGGATGTGTACTTGTTGCCGAAACTCCAAAAAGTCTTCGACGCTTCGTTGAACAATAAAACTTTAAGAGAAGTAAAAATAAAAAAAATAAATAAATACCACATGTAATTGTCTGCGTTGATCGAGTGACCCTCGTTGAATCGAAAGTGATTGCTTCTTGTTAAACATACGTCGGAGGGACGCAAATGCAAGAACTTATTTCAAAGAGATAAAAATCATGAGTTTCGGCAACCATCAAAGGCATTCTTATTTTGTAAGTTGTCGAGTCTCGGAGGTATGTACATGTGCCGATTCGTTGGAGAAGGATTTGAATTCCCCGCGATGAAATCAGATAACAATTACAAACACCGTGTCTCGCACTTTCCCCAGTGAACCAGTCTCGTGCCGATTTTTCACTCGTCTGAGACTACGTTCGGTATACACAAGTTGCGTTTGTTTTTTTCTTTTTTACTCAAGTAGTATACTAAAACGTCTATTTGCCCAGCACGAAAAATCCAACGATCGATCGGTGTGAGATATTAAAATGACGTCGCGATCGGTAACCTTTGATCGGATCGGTCAGCGTTGATTTTTCGGCTGCTGCAAACGACGGTGGCTTAAAAGTTAAAAAATGCCTCAAAATTTATAAAAACTTCCTCAAACGATATCTCGATGTTTAAGCTGAGAGAGTATGTAAAATATTTAATAATTTCGATTTTTATAATTTGCACGGTTATTCGAAAAAATTCGTATACCTTTTACTCGTCATCACTTTTTTTTAAATATTATTCTTGTAAGTTGATAAACGATGCTGAACGTTGTCATCACCCATCAGGAGCCTCGTTAAAATAAGCTTGTTGATTTCCACTCGTCTCTTTCACACTCTTACGTATATCAAGGACATTTAGTAACTAGAGATAAAGAATGGACACACGCCGAATTTTCTCTCTTGCACACTTTCACTCTTTCTCTCTCTCTCTCTCTCTCTCTCTGCACTCACTCTCACTTAAAATTTCAACGTTGACTCTCTTGTTTGGCAAATAAAGTTTTATTGCTCGGTTTATTATACAAGTGTTTTTTCGTACTGCAAAGAAACAAAACAAAAATCGAAAACATACCGAGTCCGAATACATCGTGGATGTCAAGAAAAACACACTGACCTTGACGGATCACCAATCAGGGGTAAGCGCAGCTAAACGATAGAACAACTCCGGGGGATGGCAAAAAGGGGACGAAAATGGGATTAAATCGAGCCTTAGCGTCTTTTTTCTTTCTCAGTTTCCTGCTGTTTTGGCTTTTAGCTGACACCATCCGATTGTCTACTGTAGTTCCCTTGTTTTCACATGCCAAAAATCCCCTTCGATTTTCTCAAGAGTATATATACATAAAGTCACAAGGACAAGAGAAAACAAATAATGCAGACAAATCGGACTGCGATCACGCGTGACGATTTCAGGCTCCGAACAAACTGTTGCTAACATTTTGACTGTTTTATTTAGTATTAAAATTATATTGACGTTGCCTGCACGCGCACCCCTGTCTCGTTCTCCGTCAAGTCTATCGTAAAAACGAAAAAGAAAAAAAAAAAAATAGCAACCGTTTAGTTTAAAATAAAAAAAAAACATCCATCCTTCCGCATGCACGCGCTCATCATGATGCACACGCGTACCGCTTCACTCTTTCCTTCCCACACTCGCGCTTCCAATTGAATTTAACTATTTATACACAATATATTATAGTTTATATATATATGTATATATATATATATAAAATCGTAATCGTTAACTCTCTAATTAGTTCCTAGATTGTTTTTTTTTTATTTATTTTTATTTTCCTTTTAATTCATCATCGAGCAACTTATCGCCGGCTACCCGTGCAGTTCTGTCTTTCTCAATCGCGAACCACTTTGGGCGCCTCTTCGCGTTTGTGTATCTATGGGTATGACACGTACGCTTCCACAGAGTAGTCCAGTTTCCCTCGTTTACGTGTCAGATCATTCTTCCAAGCGTTCGCTTCAACGTGCAGTCACAGTTGGCAGCCTTCCGACCTTTTTTTTTTTTTTTTAATTTTTTTTATTATGAAGATT